AAACAAGTGCTGTTACTGTGCTTACCTAATATCCCCAACAGCACCCAGCGTCCCGTAGTTAGAACCTGGTGCTGACGCCGCATTATGAACTTGCGCTTATTTGTGAAAACTGTGAAACCGTGTCGTATTCAAAGAACTTTTTTGAAGAACACATACGATTTTCAGGTAAATTTGTGGTGTGACATATGATTAAGGGAGAATCATAGACAAAAACAAGGTAAAGTTTGAATATATTTATTCACATATTGATAGAATATTTACAAGTTGAAAACGATGCAAAACGCTGTTAAAACGGTGTCATACTCTTCTCCTATTATCTATCTTGATATTATGACACTCCTGATTTTATCTCGACATGAAGCGGATTTCATATAGGGCCTACCCTATTTAAACCATCAAGACACAAGCCATACAGAGTTTATGCTCTCTTGATATTTTACACGCGATTTTTGTTCACAAAATCAACTCAAAGAGCATGTAAATTTTCACCGCAAATTTATTCATTTGCCTGAAAACTAATAAAACTAGTACACATAATTTTTTCCATACGTAAGCATCATAATCGTATAACACAAATTCTCATAATTATTCTCTCGTTATAACTCTACAATCAACGTATCCACATCAAATTTTCCTCAAATGCGCTGCGAATTTTTTGCGTTCGAGAAGCATCTCGACTTGCATATCTATATGCAACATACACATGCCTGAAAGAACTTCTCGTCTGTATAATACAGTCATCAATTCATGTAATTATGATAACAGAATATTGAGCCATAGACAACTATACGTGACAATCACCACGGCTGACTGTACAGAACAGACAGTTTTCTCAAAGTAAGCACCATAAATAATTTTACATGCACTTTCATAGTCGTATAGGGGGGGTTTTAAATACCAGGAAAAAAATTCAATTTTTTTTACATGCATACGAACGACATTTTTTCCCGTATTAGCAAGCCGTTTGTACGTTTGGCAATGAAACGCATGTAGAGTTGAGCTTCTAACGAATGTGTACAAACTTTCCTATGATAGCGCGCTTGCACGTTTTGCGCTCTCTCTCTCTCTACATCTTCCGTCCAGTGAGACCCCCCTTCACTCACCTGTGGCCATCGTCACCTCTCAGCTCGCTAACGAACCATTCAGTAACGAGGCAAAGTCGCCGAAAATCGACCGATTGTCTAACATCCCTTCAATCACACTTGTATTTAAGCAAGTTGGCTTCCTTCATGATTATTATGCCACGCGTAAAGAAGCTACCGTCCCATCCCGTCATATAGAAGCAGCTACGAGCGAGAGCGGGTTTGCTCCGACGATATAATAAAAAGAGCCTAAACAGATTTCTTTACACTTTAAAATAACATTTCTAAAACTGTACAAAATACGGCGGGCCGATCACAGCTCCGTTGTCATGACAACGCGGACCGCGACGGCCCAACATCACACGTGTGGCAATATACAATTCATACGAGGGGGTGTTCGGCGGGCAAGGCTTGGGGGGGTAAGATGCAGGCAGGCAGGCTGACCGACAGACAGTAAGTAAGCGGGAAAGGGTCTATGTCTCTCTGGGTACTGCCGGAACGTACCCTGGGTACGATCCGGTATACCCTGGTAACTATCTGACATGGTTAGGGTTAGGGTTAGGGTTAGGGAGTAGGCGTAGGCGACTCCCTAAACTCGTTAGTGGAGTAGGCATAGGCGACTCCCTAGACTCGTTAGTGGAGTAGGCGAGGTATGGTCCGGCATATTAGATAGTACCAGGGTACGTTCCGGCAGTACCCAGGGAGACATAGACCCGAGGGGCGTAAGTAAGATTGCGAGCCGAGAGCCACAGAAGAACAGCCATTCTGAGAACATCATCTTGCTCGTAACAACAGCGTCGCGAGATCAAACCCGCGCCGCGTAACTCCCGCAATTCGACTCTCGGACGTGAGCGTTTTCGCCGCGACTACGCGAATCGCTCACAGGTGGCACCACCGTCGCTCGGTCGATGCCACGAGCGAACGTGGTCGGGGAGCGTGGAACGGGGACAAGCGCGGGCGGGCGGGCGGGGCCGCGACAAAACCACCGCTGGAACAAAACTCGGTTAGCTGCTCGTAGACAAAAAAAAAAACCGGGTGGAAAAAAGCAAGTCGCGAATCAACGCCGCCGCACCAGTAGCGCGTGCCCTCAGTACTACGGCCGGCGTATCGCCCCGTGACGGCGAACATGCGGGCGGCTGAAGCTGGTGACGACCACGAGCGAGACCCTAAAAAAATAGCGCGCGTTCTCAGTCTGATTCACCCCCCCGCCAGGTGGCGCCGTTGACGAGCGTCCGCGGGACGACTCCGACCGCTTCGACTAGCGTGAGGGAATGCTGCCTCCAGCTGACAACAGGTGGCGCTGTTAACTGTGATTGTAGGACAACGATCCTGCGGTCTAGCAGCGGAGGAGAGGTTAGCAGGATAGCGCTCTGTTAGCTTCAATGCGCGCCGTGGCTTTTGTGGGAGGCCGAGCATCAAGTTCAACATCTTGGTGAAGAGAGAGAGAGAGAGCGAGAGAGAGAGAGAGAGACACACACACAGGAGACGGAGGAAAGAGAGAGAGAGAGAGCGAGAGAGAGAGAGAGATACACACAGGAGACGGAGGAAAGAGAGAGAGAGAGAGAGAGAGATACACAGAAGGAGAGGGGGAAAGAGAGAGAGAGAGAGACAGACAGACAGCCAGACAGAGAGCAAGAGCACGCGCATCATTCGCGCACAAGTTTCACCACAAGATGCTCGATTCCACGACTGCGTGGATAGTCAACGATAAAGTGCTTCAGTACGACAGAGGAGATGTGCATTCAACGCCTCCCTCCACCCTCCACGGGGGCGCGGACTCCCACGCGCATGCGCGGCGCCACCTACGTCGGCTGCGGAGCCGAGGCGTGGGAGGCAGCGCAAAGCAGCGGCGACGACAGCTCGCAGCGCCACCTTGCCTCCTAGCTTCGTCGCGGCGCGCGGCATCGCCTCCCCACAGGGGGCGCTCACTGCGTCGCCTACCAGCAGGGGGCGCTCACGGCGTCGCCTACCAGCAGGGGGCGCTCACGGCATCACCTCCCAGTAGGGGGCGCTCACGGCGTCGCCTCCCAACAAGGGGCGCTCACGGCATCACCTCCCAGCAGGGGGCGCTCACGGCGTCACCTCCCAGCAGGGGGCGCTCACGGCGTCACCTCCCAGCAGGGGGCGCTCACGGCATCGCCTCCCAGCAGGGGGCGCTTGCGACAGCGCTGCATCACAAGTTCAGTTCGTTGGCGATCTTCGACGCGATGTTCTTGTATCCGATCGACGTTCCGCTGATGCGCTTCGAGCGGACGCCGTTGAGCGACAGCCGCGGCAGCTTGCACACCTCCATCTCCCACTGGACGAGCGAGTCGGTGTGCGGGTCGCCGTGCACGCACAGCAGCAGGAAGCGCTCGCGCTGCTCGTAGTCGCAGTTGTTCTCGGTGAGCACGCGCCGGATCTCGCGCATCATGTCGTTCGGGTCCTTCGCGCTCGTCGTCTTCATGCTCCAGGTGAAGCGCAGCGAGCGCGGCTTCACGAGGTCGTCGGCGACGTTCCTGCATCCCGGCGGCGGCGAAGAGAGAGAGAGAGAGAGAGAGAGATGAAGAAAGAGAGAGAGAGGCGGAGACACGTCCACCACCGCCCACCAGCAGAGATGCCAACACATATTTGAAGCAATCTGTAGTTTCTGGCCATCAAATTAGTAGTTCGAGGGTCACGTAGTGACCCGAGTTTGCTAGGGGGGTCCGGCATGCCCCCCGGAAAAAATTTTGATTCTGAGATGCAAATTCTTGCATTCTGAGGGTCAAAAATGACAATAAATTGACAAAAAATGACAATTGACAAAATTTTTTTTTGGATCACAGTGAAATTCGTAGTTTGATATAAACTGGTCGTAGTGGTGCAAAAGGTATAGAAATTCGTATAAAATACGAATAAATCGTAGTGGTTGGCATCTCTGCGTTAGGAGAACGCGTGGTTAGTAGCTGGTAGAGAATGGGGGGGGGAGGAGTTGTTGCTGTTGGGGGATGGGGGGGGGGGCTGTGATGTATGCGTGTGCGTGCGTGCGTGTGCGTGCGTGTGTGTGTGTGTGTGTGTGCGTGCATGTGCGTGCGTTTTGTATATACGTGCGTGCATGCGAGTGCGTACGTGCATACATGTGCAAGTGTGTGTGTGTGTGCATGCCAGCGTGGTGCCATGTACGCATCGTGTCTAATTTCCCTCTGATGCAACTATTGCCAATGCACAACCAATAACATAAATGGTGGCAGACCACCATCCACAAAAATGTGTGGAATATCATCCCCCCCCCACACACACTAAAATGCTGTTAATTAACTAATTGCAAAACATTTAGGAAAACCAATCAACGCAAGTAATGCCCTGGATGCGGCGTACACACAGGTTGCACTCGCACTAAAACTGCAATGGGTCTGAAATCAATATTCTAGATAATGTTAGTGCCGATCCAAACACAGTGTTACATGCAACCATAACCAGAAGCTACAGCCACCCTTAAAAGTATTGGCGCATTCAGTAGCAGAGCAAAAGATTCCAGTGCCTTATCAGAGACAGGGGGAAAATATCTGCATATATCTGCATGTATCAAGAGCTAATTATACATACATGTATTTAAATTATTGTTGTTATACGATATCATGTTAAACAATTCACCAGCAAACAAAATTATCAGTTGGTATAATTTTTAGCATATTGGTTGAACTACGGTATACACCAAGCAGCCTTTAATGGGTGGCATAGCGTTGGTGGTGAAATGCAACTGTAATGAATAACTAGTGAAAGACTACAGTAGATGGACAGAGCATGCGTGAAACACAGCAAACAACATCAGATATCGCAATGCATCATGCACACACGCACGCACGCAGACACGCACGCACGCACGCACGCACGCACGCACGCACGCACGCACGCACGCACGCACGCACGCACACACGCTAGGTGCTAGGTGACGTCACACGCTATCTAGTTACGGGATATTTTTCGGAAACATTTTCAGAAATTTTGTCAAAATTCACTAGACAATAAAAGGCTAGACGAAATGTAGACGAAATGTATGCGAAACGTGAGGAAAAAGGGTCTCCTGTGTTTTGTGTTCGATTCGTTGCCATGGGGATGGAAAAGGCCACGAGTTTAATGTTAATTTTAAATATTATTACCACTGGCAATAATACTACATCGACTGGAATAAACAATGTTTTCAATAAAAGAAGATCCGCTAGATTGTTTTGTTTATAAAATTTGATGTAAAATACAAAGAAGATGCACCAGCTACAAATGGGCGATTGACAACGTGCGTTGGTGTGCGTGCGTGCGCGCTAGAGTGAACACATTCGCGTGTATTGAGAGCGTTCGTATGTGCGTATGAACACACGCACGCACGCATGTACGAGAACGTGTGCGAGGGCATGTTTATGTAGACGCGAAAACGCACGTTGTATGCGTGGGTGCGTGCGTGCGTGTGCATGTGTGACCATGCACGTGCATGCAAGTATGCGTGTTTGCGTGTGAACATGTGCAACGCACAGGAACGCGTGTATGCATGCGAACACACGCATCATGCGCGTACTGAACAACGCGTGAACTTGCGAGCGCGAAATTTCACAGCAAAAAATCCACGCCACCGCACTAGACTGGAAAACGAGACGAGAAGCCTAGAAAGAAGACTAGATTGAAAACTCCATCTTCCAGCATTTGCGGTGACTCTACCGTACCCAGCTACGCTACATAGCACGCTAGAGCAAGGCACCACAGCATAAGCCACCAGCAGCGGGATCATGTCCGCCCCCACCACGCTACAGCACGCACACACGCGCACACACATGCACGCACACACACACATATATATAACACCATGGTGTCTAACTCGCCCACGATCGCTCGAATGGCACACAAACCGAGACAGGCACGGGCAACCCTTGTGACGACAGTGCTGATTGGCCTGTCTGTGAAATAATTATACTTAATTCAGTGCTGCCGCCAACAGTTGCCTGTTCCAGTCTCAGCCAGTGTGACATTCGAGCCGTCGTTTTGCATCAACATTTGAGGAATTTTAGTGATTTGAGCGCATCTTGATGCGGTCCGGTTGTCAAACATGGCGGGTGTATTAAGCAGCCATCAGCGATTGCGACGGCAGTTGGAAGGTGGCTGATTGTAAACAGTGAGTTTGGCAAAGCCCAGGGGCGAGTTAGACACCATGTTGTTATACATATATATATACATACATATATCATGTATATATATATATATACACACACGCGTGCGTGCACGTGCGTATGTGTTCTGTAGTGTGAGTGTTGTGGGGGTGGAGGACTTGATCCCGCTACAGGTGGAACAGGCAGCACCCGCGCCCGGCCATTACCTCTTGTTAGTGCTAGAGCGATTGCGGGCGGACCGGTCCATTGAGTTCGGGGTCGTGTTGGAACGCTTCAAATCGTACAGATTTCTACAGCGAGCAAAACAAAGAAAAAACGCCATGCCATGTAAAAGCCGGGGAACAAAAACGCCGCCCCAATTAAACAAAAAAACGCAGGAACATCCGAAAGGCAACGGTCGTTGCCATGCCGTCTTTGAAACGATGATGGGCAGCGGGGAAAAAAACAACAGAACGAAGCGGCGGCGGTCCCCGGAGTTACTACGTTGTCACGACAACGGCTAGCATGCGATTTTACGAGATTCTTCGCGAGCTGAGACGATGTTTACACCGACACAGCGACCACGCACGCGGTGCGTGTTGGAATCGCGTGGAAAGAAACCATCATGCTGACTAACTTCAAGATATATACAAAGAGACTTCATGCACACATACAGGCTCTACGTGAAACGACGCATGCAGACGGAAAACGAGTCATCGAAATATCGTATCAAGTCACAATTTTTTGGAGAATTACTTGAACCGTCCACATGCCGAAGGCAGCGGTAGGGTGGAGTGTACACACCGATACGGGGGGGGGGGGTGAAATCCCATTAGTATGTTAGTACGGAGGCCCGAGGAAAGTAGTTGGGTTGAGCGTGGAGGTGGGGATGTATACACCTAGGGGTGAGAGATCTACGCCAGAACAAACGAGGGGCAGGGCTCAATACAATAGGACAGGTGAGGGTGTGGTTTTTATACAATAGGATAGGTGAGGGTGTGGTTTTTATACAATAGGACAGGTGAGGGTGTGGTTTTTATACAATAGGATAGGTGAGGGTGTGGTTTTTATACAATAGGACAGGTGAGGGTGTGGTTTCTATACAATAGGACAGGTGAGGGTGTGGTTCCTATTCACTAGAAAAGGAGAGGGGTGGGGGTTGTTCATGTCTACAGAGCTCTGGTAATAGGGGGCATTCCAGGACATGTTCCATAGTCTGGTCGTCTCCGCAATGTATCCCACCCCTGAACTAACCCATGATCTAAGCCCTGATCTAGCCAGTGGCCCTGATCTAACCCACAGAACTAAAACCACCATCTACCCCCCAGTGTGTTAGCCAGAGACCCGTCTACCAGTCTTTTGGACGGCCTATTCTTGGATGAGATGGATAAAATTTGATAGAGTCGGCATGAGGGCAGCCCAATTAAAAAAAAAATTTACACACCGTACGAGTAGGTGTAAAAAATTTACACAATTAAACCCCATCCCACACCCTCTCCATAGCCCCTAGGGTGCTTTGCACCCGCAGCATCCTCGTTTTGCTCAAATGGTGAGACTCCTGGCGGTGGTTTTCTTCCTGGCGAACACCCTGCATCTAACCCCAGATCCCACCTGAAGTTACCCATGGCCCCAATCTAACCCCTGAAGTAAATCGTGGCCCATGATCTACCGCGCATCACCCGCGTCGCCCCTGACACGCACCTCTTGCTGAACTTGGAGGAGAGCTTGCTGAGGAAGGAGCCGCGTTCGCGGGAGCTGCTGTCCTGCGTGCAGTTGGGAGACTCTCCGGCTGTGACCGTCACACGGCGTGTCTGCGTCCCGTGGAATGTGCTGCGATTGGCTGCAATGAACGCACAGACGCGCGCGTGTCAAGCGCACGTCAAAATACAGATCTGGCACACGATTATATGTCTATCTATCTCTATCTCTCTCTCTCTCTCTCTCTCTCTCTCTCTCTCTCTCTCTCTCTCTCTCTCTCTGTCGCTGTCGCTC